AAAAATTTAAAACAAAGTTTATAGTAAATAGTTGATACTGTAATTAATTTTAAATTTTAAATAATTCAAATTAATTAATTGATTAATAGTTAGGTCGTGGATAATTTTACCGATTTTACTGATTAGATACGGACCTACTACCTAGTACCTACTCGAGATTTACAATTTTGTTTRTTTGGTAGACTGAATATTCTACTCATAATTTTAGATCAATCTTAAGAGGACGCCACACCCATATGTGTTRTCTCCGTCTTACAAACGTATAACATAGTAAAATCTGTTTAGCGCGGGACAACTTTTCTCCCTCAATATTTATAATGGAATTTTCAAAATTTCACAACGTATAGGTAAGAACTTTATCTGTGTCATAGCGTCGTTATTTTTTTGATAGCACAAACCAATAATTTTAAGTTATTTAATGAAAAAATAAAAAATAAATGTATTTTCTTAAGCTTATAACTTTAATTGTATTTATGTTTTAAAAAAAATAACGACGCTATGACACAGATAAAGTTCTTACCTATGCGTTGTGGAATTTCGGTAATTCTACTATAAATACAAAGGGAGTAAAGTTGTCTCGCGCTAAACAGATTTTGCTATGCTATAAGTTTGTAAAACGAAGACAACACATGCGGGTGTGGCGTCCTCTTAATATTAAACTAGCAAAAKAAACTTTATTTTGTCATCATTAAAGCTAGGACCTACGATTTATATGCCTATTGTCCGGTTCCGGTGCGTATTTTTTTTTCAATGCCTTTTTACAAATAACCAAATTTGTAAAAAGTAATTTTTGCATCCGTTTAACAACTGCAGTCTTTTTATTTTTCATTTATGAGATCTTTCAGACTTCTGTTATAAAACCTGTGAAATATGTGCAATAAATTTATTGTCCAACCCACAAACAAATCAAATGATTTAATTTTTTCCATATTAATYACTCACTTTAAAATGTTTAGGTAAATAAAGCTGTGGGTTGAGTGTTTAAATATTTAAAAACATTTTTTACTATGGACAATATAATATTATGTACGTTTATGAGGCGTACATTGATTGATAGACTTCGACMAGTAATTTTATTTCACGTATAATACCCAATACYCGGCATAATAATTTTCTGTTTTTATAATATAGTATAATATTCAAAGTATAAACTTAATTTCGGTCATAAAAAATCGTATCAATGACTTTCAACGGCTGTGTTGAATTACTTTTGATTTTGGGAAAATTAACTATAATTTCTACAGGTACAMCCTACGTCCCTATTGGAAATGTATRACTTACGCYGTTCYTCACAACAGACTCAGTACTGCACCTGTATCTATTGGCTACCCGACAGTTGGCTGGTGCTTATGAAAACAGTACTAGCCAAGCCGTCAAGGTGTTAGCCAGTACTGTACTACACTATATATAGTACTGCAGGAAGACTAGCACTGGAGGCCAGTGTTGTACGGACATATAGTGACATACTACGGGCACCGAGTGAATTGCGAGCGTGGGCCAACTAGTGTCGGTCGTAGTTGTGTCAACGTTGGTGGAGAACTGGCATATTATTAGGTACTAGCTTTTTTTATGACGAGAAAAGGCCGACCAGTGTTTCTGGTATTTATTTTATTACGTTATATTGTGTTCCCAATCCTCGAACAACGATTAAAGTTAGTGCAATAATAATATTCCTTACCTATAAATAAATAAATTAAACGTATATATTATACGGGTACTTAGACTAAAGGTAAAAATGTTTTTTTTGGGATTTTTTTAATAAATAAGATCGATGGAACTTTTGCTCATGCATTGTGACATGTTACTGCACATGCAGTGTTGGTCTTGTTTTAATCTTCGCGTATTTTGTAGTGTTGATGAATGATGCCAATGATGGTAGCAGTTGATCTCGTTTTGAATTTGGTCTGTSAGTTAAGAGTTAAGATTATGTCAACGCAAWATATTTGTTTTCTCTTTCAGCCCTACCACCTATTATATGCTTATAACATAAATAAAACGCATTCACCTAATATCTTTTTTTATGATTTTCGAGTAACTTTTTTAACTTTTTTAACCGGCTTTATGCTTTAGTAGGTATAATTTGACTTTAAAATTGACTTAAAAAATTTGTAAATTTGTAAAATAAATTTTTAATTTAAATAAATATTAAACTATTTTAGTACAATRTTTAAACAAATCGATATTATGGCATATTCTCGAAAATATTGTTTCTGTAATTTTTRTAATACTAGCTAGGGGCTAGAGCTTTACTCTAATATTAGGTACTTAGTAACATAAAACAAATGATTTTGTGTGAATATGTTTTGTCAATGTTTCCACCGTGAGCTAGAGAGAGAGAAAACAAGCAGTGTGCTGACATGCTAGCTCCTATTATTTTATTTTTTCCAATTAAGCGCTGAATATAGATTGTATGTACCTACTATGTTTAATATTAAATTGTTCAAATTTCAATGAAATCGCAAAATATAATTTTATTTATAATGAGAAAACAGTAATAGGTGTAATAACAGAGTAAATGTCTATACATTTTATTTTTGAATCTCTTTTGATAATATTTAATAGCAATAATAACATTAAACTGGTTATTTTATATTCTATATTATGTCAAAACTTTTTCCAGTTACAATTGAACTTATAAGGAAACGCTCTGAACATAACGAAGGAGAGATCGGCACTTTAGAAGAAATATCTTTACACCAGGAAGATATAACTAAAATAGAAAATTTACAAAATTGGTGTAAAGATTTAAAAATATTACTTTTGCAATCAAATTTAATATTTAAAATAGGTGAGTATCATAATAAACAGAAACACAAGGTTGTGTAATTTTTTACACACTTACACAACGTGTATCAAAGTTACATTAATTTACATTTATAACTTGTAATTGTGAAAGTATAACACAGGGCCGCAATTACCGCGGGAGGGGGGTGCCCTGTCTATAAGGGCCTACAAAATAAACTTGGAGGCACTGATTCAAACCTCACAAATCATGACTAACGAAAATATTTTGAAATTTATTTATATAGGTACTTATTGCTAATTGGTACCTAAAATTTTAATTTATTATATCATATGTCTCATGACAAAATAATTGATTAATAATAGGCTTATAGGCACAGCTGATGTATCTATATTATTATTATTAATATATTAATATAAATATATTAAATATATATAATATTATTTATTATTATTATATATAATAATATCACAGAAGTACAGAACTATAATATATAATATGTTTGTAATTTAAAGTCCATCCACGATTTGCCAACAATAAAAATATTGTACATGATTTTAAACTATAGCTAGGTATTCAGAAGTTTTATCAGCTTGTATGCTTTTTTTGACTCTTCCAATTACAGTTGTGAGTTTGTGACCGCAGAAAGATCATTTTTTAAATTAAATCTAATAAAAAATTATTTAAGAAATTCAATGGGACAAACATGCTTGTCAAACATAGCAGCTAGTGCTAAACATAGAACAACATCGCACTGCTGAATTATCATTAGACAATATTATATCATAGTTCTCCAATTTAAAAGCCAGAAGAATGAAGTTTTAGTACACATTGTTTCCTATTTATATTTGTTTCAACCAATTTAAGTAATTGTTTAAGCTTTCAAATTTTAAAAATTATAAAAAATTAACTTATTAAGTTTTGTTGTTATWTTGTTTATTTTGATGATTGGTTTGGAAGATATACATTGCATAACAACTTTGGCTGACCTCTATRTTTATGTAATTAAATTGGGTTATCATTCTAAAATGTTGAATTCTTATTTATTGATGTAGTGCTTTGTGAATTTTGTAGTTGCGGCACTGGTAATAACTAACCAAAACATTATCTTAGTTCTTATCAATCTACCTAACTTTGAATTGTATCTTGTATATTCGTATCAGTTTTTATTGTCACTTTAAAGTTTAAATAAAAGATACTTGTATTGTATCTAAATAAGTTGCATTTATAAAATCATAAAATGAACGATATCAAAATAATTAAAAATATCGTTATTGTTTATGATGGAATTTTGAATAGGTAAAAACATGAATATTCCATGTTATTTAATATTTATTTATTTATTTATTTATTGATTAATTTATTGGATGCTATTATTTTATTATTATAATAATTGTTGCTTCAGTTTAAAAAAAAAATGATCCAAGTTTATGACATCCGTCAGAATGCGCTCCGAACAGCAGTGATGTGATTTTTATGTGTATTGCATTGCTTCATAGGATGCATAATGCATTTATTGATTAATTATTCTAATGTATAATTTAATTGGTTTAAGCTTATGATTTATGAATCATTTATAAAACATTTTTTTTTTTTTTTTATCAAATTGTCCTCGATCAAATTGTAGTATTTCTAAGAATATACGAACTATAGAATAAGAGATATAATTTTTTTATATAACTTTCGAAATTTTAAACTTAATAATATAAATTTTAATTTAYAACTCAGATAAGTCAAACATTATGTTAGATAATATCACTAGGACAGACTTCAGTAAATAATGATAATTATTTTAGTATTCTTGATAATCATGAAAATACTTAAACCTGCGCATATAGCTACATAAAATGTATTTTCTTTTTAACGATAACTTTTATTCTAAAAGTATTCTTACAGACAATCAAAGAAAATTTGGTCTTGAGAAAAAATTTGTTTTTAAATTAATTATATATAATATAAATAATATTTTATTAGGTATATAAAATTATTTGATTCCGTGAATTTTTGCTCAGAGTGATGGCGATGGCGAACTGTTTCTTATGTTCATGCCTCATGGATTGCGGTAACAATATTAAATACTCATACATTTTAAATCTGTAGTGTTCACTATACGTCTATACTGTAGKTGGTATAGTATATAGAACAACACTACTCGTTAAATTTTCAATTACCAATATTTGTTTATATTTGTATAAACATTATTCATTATTGTCTAATATTTGAAAATAAACCGTATACAATTATTGGGAAAATATTTATAGTGGCCAATTGTTTACTGAGATAGTGTATACAGTMTATTTTATACTATCAAGGAATATATTACAATCTAACGTGTTCCAAGTACTGGCTGACTGATTAACGTAGACTCTAAAGCTAAACCATAATAGCTAGAGACTTAAAATGTCATGACATCATATTAACATTTCACAAATGGCGCATCATGTATATATAGGGGTTACACAACATTTTTTTTCCAAACTTCACACTTTTAAAGATGAGTTGATAAAATAATGTTGTACAATCCATCACAGAAAAATTGATCGTATCGGTMGAATAAGTACACAGAGKTACATAGTCGCTGGTTTGGCACTGAACGCCAGCTTGGCCATTAATATGAGGTAGAAATACAAACTTTAGACTAAAACCACAGATTAAATAAACTGTAAAAAATTTAATTAAGATAATCTGTGCAAAAGAAACCTTAGTCCTATATTTTATAAATTATATTCTTCATTTTTGACGGGTGAAATCGTGTAATACAATATACAGCTGTCAGCTAGTATTTAGTAAGTACTTATTAGTACAATATTCTATGGACATAAGAGAAAGGACGCTGATGTGCTGAACTATGTACATAATAATAGTGTTCCGTTGCAGGGACGTAGCGGATGAATTTACATGGGGCACTTGGGGGGAGGGGGACTATGGCCTATAATGTTAACAAGTATACAAGTATACAACATTCAATCTAATTTCAATATATTCTGTGATAATATAATATAAATAATATTATACTCTAATAATGTAATATTTTTATACCCTACCCACCTCCCCCATCATTCATCGAGTTTTGTCCAGGATTATAAGATCGCATAATATTGACGTATGTTCATATTTTGTATGAACATTTTGTAACTACGTTAAAGTAAAAAATATTTTTAATTTTGGTATGGTAATAGGTAAACCATAGAATAAAGACATGGGGTAAACTAGTAATCTAGTACAATACAAAAAACTATAATTAAAAAACTAGATATGTATATATTATACATATTACATATATATATGTATATTACTATAATAATTTCGAACGTGTAACATACTAACATGACGTAACGGCAACACTGCTGACAAGCTGTGCACCATGAAGAATATTATAATTCTTATGCTGTACACACTGAATAAAATCTTATCATGAAAAATATTTGTTTACACATTTTAAGCTCATTTTTGATTTTTATAATACATTCTTAAAAGTGACYGAAATTAAAACAAAGTTACGTTAAGACTCAAAATTCTTACATTAATTAATTTTAAAAAGTGATTTAAATTTAAGACTTGAATTTACAGTGATACGTTTGAACTTAATTTCAAAAAATATAATATTTCTGTGTTTAAGTAATTTATAATTTATCATGAAATAATATTGTTCTATGATTCTATGCTTTGTGAATGTACCTATTATAATTAAACATAAACAAATAGTTACAAGCTAATAACATTGTTTAGGAAAATGGAAGAAGATATTAAACCAGATATTAAGCCAGTGATTGATGAAGCTCCTAAAGAACCAGATGATAAAAAGACTAGTTTATGTGTTGCATTAAAAATTCTCAAAAAGTATAACTTAAATTCTACTGCCGAAACTTTGAAAAAAGAAGCAAATTTGACAGATTCTGCATATAATACTTCAGAACATGATGTTAGTAATGCATTAAATATATTTAAATCTCAAGGAGATCCATCAGTTTATGAGAATGCTTATATAACTCTATCAAAATTTGTTGAAACATCATTAGATATTTACAAACATGAGTTGGGATGTGTATTATACCCAGTATTTGTACACATGTATTTGGACCTTGTTTGTAATCGTCATGAAGCTGAAGCTGTAAAGTTTATGCAAAAGTTTGGACCAGCTCAAGAATCTTACTATCAAGCTGACATTCAAAACTTAGCGATCATTACAAAAAAAGAAGAATTAGAAGATAATGCACTGATAAGCAATTACAAGTCAAACGAATTTGTTGTTCGAATGTCTAGAGATACATTATCTCTTTTAAAACGACATTTGAAAGAAAAAAAACAAACTGTCTTATTAGATATTGTTCAAGAAAATTTGTTTTTTGATGTATATGAAGGAATAGCTAGAAACAAACAACAAATTGATGCAGTGGCAGGAGGAATGATCGGAGAAGGAACTAGACAAGACAATAAATCCAGAGTATATTATGGGTTATTGAAAGAACCTGATTTACAAACTGCCGCAGCAACAGTCAACTTAGATGAAGATGAAGAAGAAACTCAAGAGAGTGAAAAACCAAAAAAAAAGAAATCAAAGTCTAATCCTTTATTATCTAAAAAAACTAAAATTGATCCTAATGCTCCATCATTAGATAGAATGCCATTACCACAATTGAGAGAGGTAAATATTTATAAATAGTTATCATATAAATAACAAATTTGTAAAACTTATATTAATATTAGTTACCAGGTCTAAACTTATATTAAATCGTAATTAAAAAAAAAAATTAGAATTCGTGAAACATTTGAAATGGAAATCTTACCTATTATAATTTAATAAAAATTTATATTTTTAAAACTTAGACATATAGAGTCCAAGAAGTAAAAATGTTTCAATAGGTATATTATAAATACATCAGGATGGTCCTATGATAATTTAAAATTTTCTTCTTGKTATAAATCAGCTTTTTTTAACTTAAATGAAATAATTTTGTTTGTTTGGRTGAAAAATGTATATTTTAATTATATTAATTAATGTAAATAATATTCATTTAATATTTTATTTTATATGTAGTAGAAATATAGTGACTTAATTTCTACATAAAGTGTCATAAATTTTGAATTATAAAACTTATGGGAATCTTATGTAATCCTCACCAAATTTGTTATATATAATAATAATTTTTTTATATTTATATTTTTCAGATTGATAAAAAAATTAAAGTTCAAGCAGTTTTAGATTCTGCTAAGCGAGTGGCATTAAACCATGAAACATTACCTTCTATATGTTGTTATACATTATTGAATTGTTCTAATGCTGTGAATTGTGCCACAATTAGTGATGATGCCACAATGTTGGCCGTAGGAATGGCTAATAGTCGAGTACGTGTATGGAGCTTAGTACCTCAAAAACTACGTGCCATGAAAACAGCTGATCAACTGCTTGATATTGATCTGGAATCAGACGATGTAATGCATAGGATACTTGATGATAGATCAGCTGAAACCACTCGTACATTACTCGGACATTATGGTCCTGTATATCAAGTGTCATTTAGCCCTGATAAAACATTATTGTTGTCATGTTCAGAAGATTGTACAATTAGACTTTGGAGTTTACTATTATGGTCATGTGTAGTTGCATATAAAGGAAGTTATCATCCTGTATTTGATGTCAAGTTCAGTTTACATGGTTATTATTTTGCCACTTCTAGTAGAGATCGCACAGCAAGACTATGGGCAACAGATAATTATCAATCACTAAGATTGTTCAGTGGTCATTTTTCAGATGTAGATTGTTGTCAGTTTCATCCTAATTCAAATTATATTGCAACTGGGTCAAGTGACAGAACTGTACGTTTATGGGACTGTGTTACCGGAGAACAAGTGCGATTAATGACTGGCCATAAAGGAGAAATTTTAACGTTGTGTTTTTCAAACGAGGGACGAATTTTAGCATCAGCTGGCAATGATTGCAATGTACTYCTATGGGACATTGCACATGGACATTTAGTAGCTATGCTTACTGGACATAAAGGACCTATTTATACAATTACCTTTAGTAGAGACAGTACTATTTTAGCAACTGGCTCTCATGATTGTAAAATAATGCTCTGGGATTATTCAAAACTTTTAGAAGATCTCTCGTTGGATGAAATGAATGTGCATAACCCTACTGTTATGAATGATAGTTCCAAGTACTTACTTCGAGCATTTGGTACAAAGAACTCACCAGTTATACATCTATTTTTTTCAAGGCGAAATATTATGTTTTGTGTATGTTCATTTAATTCTCCTCAATCAAATTAACTGTCAATTTCCAAAAACAATTATTATTTTACCACATTTATCTTTCTGTTAATTATTTAATAATGTTATAATTAAGTACTAGRTTGTATAAGTAACTATTCTTCTTYGTGGTATTTGTAACTTGTAAGTAAAATTTATTTTCTAAAATATTTTTATGGTATGTGTAATACATTTATCAAAATTCAAAACGCAGTTGTGTTCATTATTAGGAAATTATTGTTTTTTTTTTTTTTTTTTTTTTTTTTTTTTTATTGTTAAAATAACTAAATAGTAAATAGTATGTATAAAGAATACATGTTATATTTTATGACTTAATACAAATTTATGTACTATTAAATTTAAGTTTGTACATAAAAAAAATACCTTTTATTGAATGTTTTACAAAATGATCATATTATATCATATACTTATAAAAATAGTGTATGGTATATTAATAAGCCTAAATATTTTTTTCAAAAGACAATTTTTGATTGGTTTATTTGATTAATTAGGTAATACATAGGTATTATAGGACTGGAAAATTAATTATTTCAGTATTATAAATTATARTTAAAAATATTTAAGTAACATTTAAAATGATAATATATGTTGCATGGATCCTCTGATATCTTACCTTTATTACTTAATGCTTATTTTATACAACTTACAAAAATATATTTTACAACCCTGATTTCTAGTTTTTACAATATTTTTATATGTTCAGACATATTACTAGTATAATACGAAATTTAAACACCATTTTTTTCTTTAAATTTATATTTGAAATACAATTGTTAATTGTGTTAGCTAATTCCATACAAATAAGCATGCTTTTGAGTCTGAGCACTTTGATGATAGTGGGCATATCAGTGAATTATAATTACCTCAAAATTAGATTTTAGATTTGTTTTGTGTAAGCAGTGTAGTTAAATTTATTTAAGAAACTTCCCAGAATATTACTATTTTCCATTTTTTAAAAATAATTTTAAGTACACTTATTGGTAGAATAAACTATATGTATAGGGACTTATATATAGACAAGCCCGGATTTATATAATTTTGGGCCTGGAGCCACCCATTATCTATATATTGTAGGAAACATACTACCAGTAAGAGGCCCATTACATTCGATATTTGTTGGTCAGATKACCGAGTCCATGATCCCCTCCCTTAATCTGGGATTATTTATAGGATATAACCATAATCCATAATTTTATTAGAATATAAAATATTATATAATATATTATAATACTTCCTATTTAAAATATGTTTGATTTCAGAAAATTTGAACAAATTAAAGAAATTAGAATATTTAAATTTGGCATTGAATTGTATTGAAAAAGTAGAAAACTTGGACCGATGTGAATCTTTAAACAAATTAGATTTGACAATGAATTTTATAGGGAAACTTGATAGTATTGGATCGTTAAAAAATAACACACATTTAAGAACATTGTAAGTAAATTATGATTAGTTGTAACTTAACACAACTCATAACAGACATAACTAATAATTTGGTAAACGGAAAAAAAAGTCCCCGTTAATAAAATCATACGAAAAAACATGATTGTAGCCATTGTAGGTACGTAATTAGGTATTACATTTATTACAWCATTTAATAATTATATGTTACAGTTATATAGGTATATTTTAAAAGTTACAAGTTACAAAAATTTTACAAAATTATGTGTTACAGGTATAAGTATAGTTATATTTTTACAAGTTAAGGAAAAAAATACATTTATTACAAATTTAATCAGATTTCATTCTTATATTATGCCCTATATTTGTCAAGAAGATATCAACGCTCAATTCTCCCCTAGTAAATTGTTCGCATAAATTTTTTAATTGAGTTTGCATTATATGCCCTTTATGTGGTCGCTTGTAAGTTAATTGCCCTATTTCACTCAATGTTAATTTGGCGTTATCAGCCCCCACTTCGTTTTTCATATTTTTCAATAATTTCCAAATCGATGGATTTTTATGCCCAACCAAATGATTAAACCTATTATTCCAACCTTCACACACGTTGCTGGTTCTACTACAATCCAGTAAGGTAGTTTGGTGCACATTCCACGTCGGAGGAGGGTATTGAGGAGGAAGTCGACGAAACCAAATTCTTAAATCGTCATCAGTTCCTATTCTACGCAATACTTACATAAACCGAATCAAAATAATCAACTAAGTCTTCCGCGTCTGGAGGAACAACAGCTTTAAGATAATCCATTCCTTCTTTSACGTGACTTAGTGGGARAAAAGCTAAGSTATCTAACATAGCACAAAAATGGTTGAAATTTTCGTCTGTACGATATTTAGTCTCTAAACCTAATTTTTGTATATGCCTCTGAGTGCTTTGGCATAAATGATAAAAACAACCCATTATTGTTATGTGACTACCAATAATATTTTTAAGAGCATTAATAACAGCTTTTTCGAAATCTAAATGCACTTTAACTGGGTCGGGGTAATATTGACGTTAATTACATTCGTTCAAAAGTATTCTGAACATTTTTTCATACGTCGATTGTGTTTTTCTTTGTAATAATGAATAAATTGCAGTTAAATACTCACAATTGTAGGTATTTTATACGAATAATATATAACTGTAAAAATTTTTTAGGTGCCAGTCCAAAAGTTCCATCCATATACCACTCTTTAGATTGACTCAATAAATGTATCACGTTGTCAGTACCAAACATTATAATCCTCTCATTAGTGTTTTCAGATTTATTATCATATAAAAGAAAACGTTGACTATTCCATAAAGACCATTCTCCTAAAATGTATGTATAAAAATGTAAATACATTACTATGGAATTTTATTTTTATAAATATTTAATTTATACCTTCAATAATTAAATCGTTAATATCTGTTGGCTCGACAGGGTTATTTCCACTTCTTTRCATTCGGATAGTTCGTTTTATTGATTCTTCTGTAGGCATTTTCATTAAGACTAGTTTTGGTATTTTGTTAATTACTTTGTTGAAAATTGGCGTAGAACCAGAAACCTTGGAAATTTCTTTTATTTCAGCTTTAGATTTTACSGCTTCGATATTATTTTGATCGGCCACATGATGGTTATGCTCGTGACGAATACTTAGGACTTTGTTTTTGTTTATTGTTGTTTTTAATATAGCTGCCAGCTGGACACTTAAAAGAACTACTTTTTACGCATTTCCACCGAATAAATTGTTTACAATCTTTGTGTTTTGTATACATATAACCGTTTAAAGAAATTTTTAAACTGTTTTTATTAGACTTAAATATTTCCATCGCGAAGCACAAAACGAATAAAAACACGAATAATCGATCAAATACAGACTAATAACGTACAAATAGTGAGCACATCAATATTTTCAATTTTATGGATGGACAAACGTTCGTACAGKCTCGTAAAATAGATAGATAAGTAAGGTGTAGGTACAGTATCCACTACCCAGTACCCATACCTATTAGATAAAGTGAAAATATTATTTATATTACGTTTATTTCGTAAATTACCCAATACCCAGGTAATATACTAATATTATATAAATATAATATATAATATCAACTACTCGTTTTTGAAACTTACTCATAATACCTATACCATGTAATACATTGTTGACAAATATAGTGGCATTTATTTTACAAATAATACAATTAATAATTATGTACAGTCATGTTTTTCGTATGATTTTATTAACGGGGACTTTTTTACTGGTATTCAATAACTTTCAATACAAAAATTGTATCTCTATATTGGTTATTACGTTATTACTTAGAAGATACTATATAGTTGAAAGTTAATCACTTTATTAGATATTAATAAAGTAATTACGGACTACAAACTACGGTAAGAAGGTAGGTATCTGGTATATCAATTGTACTAAATACTTTTTACTAATCAAAGTATGTAGGTACTAGGTAGTAGGTACGCATTAAATAGAGTGAATTAGAAAAAAATTAATAAGAAAGCTACCTATCTAATAATATACCTAACCTATGTCCTATAATATACTATATAGGTAGCCTACCTGATATTATCCATGTTATATTATATCATATCGTCTAAATATTCTTTATTAAGAGGACGTTACACCCGCATGTGTTGTCTCCGTCTTACAAGTTACAAGTGCGTAACAATGCAAAAACTGCAGTGAAACATGTTTCGCACGGTAAAGAACCGAGAAAGATACAGACATACAGTAAGTTATAAGTATAACTAAGAAACGAAATTTACACCACATAAAAAGGAGAATTTTGTCTGTGCAACATCGTTTTTATTTTTTCGACATTACTTATACAAAAAAAATTCTTATTGTTTTATATATATGTATTTATAATGCATTAATTTTGTGTTTTTTAAGCATGAATAACTTTTTTTGTAGTTCTGATATCGAAAAAATAAAAACGATATTGCACAGACAAAATTCTCCTTTTTATGTGGTGAAAATTTCGTTTCTTAGTTATAATTGTAGCGTTCTCGGTTCTTTCCCGCGTGAAACAGTTTTTGCAATGTTACGCATTTACMATTCAGTARAAGTACAAACAATGATATTTCTGAAAACAGTTATGAAATTTTTGCGTACCTATAACCAATTATTTKTAGATATTATTACGATTACGGGATATAGTAACAGTATTGGATTCAGGATAGGGGCACGTGCCCCTGTCAATTTTTTTAAGTAACTATGACTTATGTGTATTATATAAATGAAAAATGCAGTTAATAAGAATAATACTACCGACTATTAATAAATTATTATAATCATTATTCACATTCAAACTGATAAAATAGGCCTTATAGTGTCTTATCGATATCTATTTTTAATATAAGCCTATTATATACCTATTAATTAAAATTAAAATTATACAATTTATGTGCCCAATATCAAAATATCGAAGATCCGCCTCTGTATAGTAATAACGACCTAGTGGTTAGTATAAAGTACCTAACAGATATCAAATTCTGATTTATTTTGTTAAGCTGTCCCCCACGCATTAAAAAATGTTAGGCACCTACGTAACTAGTATAGTGATAAAAACTATTTTTTTTAGTAATTAAGTTTGCAAGGAAAATTGGATTTTTGATATAAAAATTATAAAATAACTTAAGTAAATTACGAGCAGCTTTCGAATTTACAATTACCTAGTCGATGCTAATGCTATACGAGTGGCCTCTTGAGAGCTGATAAACTAGATTTACTCACAGTATTGGGTAGATACTTACCAACTTACCTACTAAAATTCTGGATTCATTGAATCTTGTTTTGCCACAGTAGAATTTTCTCACAAGTGTTTGTATAAACCTATATTTTAATTTGTTCAGGTATCTCACTGGAAATCCTTGTACAGATTATGAAGGATACCGCGAGTATGTTATTGGAACTTTACCACAAATTGACGTACTTGACGGAACTGATGTGACTTCATTTGATAAATTAGTCGCCAAACAACAGTTATCAAATGTTTCACGTAAAATCATTGCCCAACAAAAAACTTATGAAAGTAAATGTTTAGAAATAAAATATAAAAATACGTATAATATATGCGTATGAATTAATACTGATATTTAATTTATTTATTGAACTAGGTACCTACTATGTTAGAATAATTTAATTTTATGTTCACTATAGATTTCAGATTAGAACAAAAAAATACATCAAAATCTATAAAAAATACTGCAGGGGAAACTTTGGAAACGTACGAAAAAAATTATGAAGAAACAGATGAAGAGTATGTATAAAAAAAAATGTTATAAGTACCAAGTACTTACTTACTGGCCTTTGGCTACTGCAGAATGTTGGTAATTAATGATGTACAAGTATATTAGGTAATTAAAAAATGTATAAATAAAAAAATATTATTATATGTATATAATTTTATCATATATACCTATTATGAGGTGCTGTATTACTCAATTAACATACAGATGCAATTGATTTTTTTTTATGTCTCGTATAATTCAATATCATTTGTAATATGTATTAAAAATAAATATAAGATTGATTAGTATAATAATTAATACTACAGCTACTATCTTAATTCGTAGTGATTCATTGGTAGTTATTTTCTTTTTAAGTTTATGAGTCTATTTAGCACTATATGCCTATATTCATGTTTAATAATTTTATGACTCTTCGTTTCTTGTTTGATGTTGCCATTTATTTCGTATTATGGGTGTGATATTGGGTGTGTGGACCTGTGGTTACTGTTTACACATTGCATACTTGTATGGTGACGTGGGTTGAAAACTTCTCGCCACCTCTCGAGAAAGGCGCCAAATAAGTGAGTAATAATACCAATGTAGGTATCAAATCAAATGAGACAAAGACTTGTCAGATGTAGAAAAAAATGTTAAAGATAAGTAAAAGGATGGTGTGAGGTTTATTGAAAAAAGTTCCCCTCCCCCCAGTAAAAATGTTCTCTTGTAATTTATATTATATAGGYACTAATTTTTTAACTTATAAAATGTCAACAACTTTTAGTTTTTGGAATCAACCTAGCGAAAACACTCCAGAATGTCGCGTTGAGATGGCGCTTCACAGCAGACGAGCTCAACGAAAGCAAGACGAAGTGAAAAAAACACCCAAAGAAAAAAAGTGGACTCCAAAATTATTCGCTGAAGACGGTCGTCCGTATAATTTAAACCAAGCTAAAGTGCCGTACAAATTGGAGAATGAACACAACAAATATGTGCTCACTGTTCATGTGTACAAGTAAAATCAATGTTATAATAATGTTATTATTGTAAACGCTTTTAAAGTTAATAAATGTTAAAGTTTTATAAGACAATAAGCCAATACTATTTCGTAGAAAACTAGTGAGCTGATAGATTCATATAGAAGTCTATATAGTAATATAGTATGATTGACTAGGTATAGGTCTATTGGTCTATAGGTACTAGGTAAATACTCGTTTGAAATTAGATTTTCACCTATAAATTATGAATCGCRGAAAAAAAGCCAAAGGAAAAAAAGTATAACAAATATAGGCAATTTGATATACGGATTACGGAAACTCAAATACAAAAATAGTAGGTACCTACTAGTTACTACCTACATAATATAGTCATATAATAATAATAATAGTCACAGCAGGTCAGTCGACWAAAAATATAACAATAATACCTATTATAGTATAAATATTTTGTTGGGTATAGTGTGATTGTGATATAGTGTGTATATGATATTAAATATATAATGAAATTAAAACTAAGCTGTGTTGTCATTCAAAAAAGTAAAAAACTTAAAAAATTATAAGGATAAAATGGTAAAAGTGTAAAACGGTATATAAGTGTTCACATTTATATTTATATTTCTGCCTTTTTTTCCTTGGTKTGTTTATTTTTTTGGGCTTTTTTTCCGCCTACCATAAATTATGTTGAATTTCTCAGAAAGTATTGTTTTTCAGAATATTAAATTAAAAATGCATCTATATGGTTTTAGAAAATAATAAAACTTTTTAATTATAGAAAAATAATGTTTTTTTTTAAAAAAAATGTGGTTTTCAAACGACTTTAAATTTTGTAAAAAATAAACTTTCAAAAACATTTAACTTATTATATAGGAAGGTACTCTTTGAAATAATGTTAGTTTACTCTTAAGACTGCAGTCGCGCTATATAGTAACATTTAACGGTTAAATATTTTGGTTTAGATTCATGGACACTAATGAATTKGATTTAGATATTCAACCCACGTACGTGAGGGTTACAATACGAAAAAAAATATTGCAACTAGTGCTGGACGAAGAAGTAAGAGTGGATGAATCCAATGCGAAACGTTTAATTGGTTCAAAATTATTGGAAATAACTATGCCTAAAGTAAATATCATCGTTATATAATGGATAAAAAAATATGTTAATAATATGTAATATGTTATGTTATGTTAATATGTTCATTTTTTTTTTTTTTTTTAAATTAAGTCTCGGCAACTATGACCATTGGCAGCAATGAGTTTAACTCTAAATTATTTACATGTTATATAAGTTACATATTAAATACTATTGATAAGGTTGGACTTGGTAATAAAGGTTATTATTTGTCTTAATGTCTTATGTTGTCTGAGTGGAGGGCTTCTGACAGGATGTTTGAGATGGAAATCGGAAAAAAAAACCCGGGAAAAAAAATCYCCAACCCTAGGAAAAAAATCCTCAGACTACAATATTACTCAAAACCTCATTCACAAATATTTTTTAAACATTTTATATTATATCTATAATTACCACATTATTAATATTGAATTACAAATACGTATAGGTATTATATTATATCATTCAATAAATTTGTTGAAAAGTTGTTAGAAAAACMAAGTTTTTATTAAAAAATTATATTTTTAAATATTTTTTATCCTTATAATTTTTTAAGTTTTTTTACTTTTTTGAACAACAACATCATTAAGTTTTAATTTTATAATCCAAAGCAGAATATTTTRTAAACTAGTTTTATGTTGGTATAAGTCTGTAAAAATTAAATCCCCGAAATAAAATATTAAGTTTTTTGTAACATTTTGACGATAATTTATACGATATATTAGATTTTCAAATGTTATTTAATATGATTGTTGTGTGCAGTATAGTTTGTACCTACCGGTTACCTTTGATAATATATATTATAGGGTWAAAGGCATGGRTGGCTACTAGTTGCGTCCCRCGGTAAAAATTTCTTCCGAATTGCGGCCCGAGTTTTTTTGGGATGCATACGAATTGCGGCCCGAGYTTTTTTGAGTTACCTRTGAATTGCGTCMCGGAATTTAAAATTAAATTAATTATATGTATGTAATTATATTTTATTATGTTTTAATATGCATTGATTTTCATTCAAATATGCAAAAATATGCTAACAAAAATGCA